TGTAACTAAATATATTAACAACATTTGATCTGTTCTATTTATTACTGATTCAGCTGTTTGCAGTATTTGATCATTCAGTATTATTAAATCTAGAATAAGGTAACTAAATCAAAAAAACTCGATAGTTACAGGAGAGTAAAAATAGCTGGGACCCGTGCGCGTGTCCCTGTCTCCAGTCCAGAGTGACACTGATGGAGCTAATACGGCGGACGTCAGCTCCGTTGCCATGGGAGACGTATTTATTGGTAAAGTAAAAAAAAACAAAAAAAAACAAACAAACGCAGTCAATTACGCCGCCTGTCCGCCCGATCATCCGTCAGTCGCGGGGACGGGCCGGCCCAGATAAACCGGGTTATTCACCAAAACAATCCATCTGCGGCCGGGGGAAACGGGAGGAGACGGAAGCGACGCGAGCAAACGTGGAAATGTGAAGACACTTCGCAGCTGACGAATTAACTTTTTTTTTTTTTTTTCCAGGGGTTGTGACGCTAAAAGGAGGCACTGCTCTGTCTGAGGCTCTGTTAGATTTTAATCTGAGCTTTAATTTAACACAATAAAATAAAGCTGTTCAACTCACCCTTATTTAACAGATAATACTCCCTACAACTGTACAGCTCACCCTTATGTAACAGATAATACTCCCTACAACTGTACAGCTCACCCTTATGTAACAGATAATACTCCCTACAACTGTACAGCTCACCCTTATGTAACAGATAATACTCCCTACAACTGTACAACAATTCACCCTTATATAACAGATAATACTCCCTACAACTGTACAACAACTCATACTTATGTAACCGATAATACTCCCTACAACTGTATAACAACTCACTCTGATTTAACCGATAATACTCCCTACAACTGTACAACAATTCACCCTTATATAACAAATAATACTCCCTACAACTGTACAGCTCACCCTTATGTAACAGATAATACTCCCTACAACTGTACAACAATTCACCCTTATATAACAGATAATACTCCCTACAACTGTTCAACTCACCCTTATGTAACAGATAATACTCCCTACAACTGTACAACAACTCATACTTATGTAACCGGTAATACTCCCTACAACTGTATAACTCACACTTATTTAACTGATAATACTCCCTACAACTGTACAGCTCACCCTTATGTAACAGATAATACTCCCTACAACTGTACAACAATTCACCCTTATATAACAGATAATACTCCCTACAACTGTTCAACTCACCCTTATGTAACAGATAATACTCCCTACAACTGTACAACAACTCACCCTTATGTAACAGATAATACTCCCTACAACTGTACAACAATTCACCCTTATATAACAGATAATACTCCCTACAACTGTACAGCTCACCCTTATGTAACAGATAATACTCCCTACAACTGTAAAACAACTCATCCTTATGTAACAGATAATACTCCCTACAACTGTACAACAATTCACCCTTATGTAACAGATAATACTCCCTACAACTGTACAGCTCACCCTTATGTAACAGATAATACTCCCTACAACTGTACAACAATTCACCCTTATATAACAGATAATACTCCCTACAACTGTACAGCTCACCCTTATGTAACAGATAATACTCCCTACAACTGTTCAACTCACCCTTATGTAACAGATAATACTCCCTACAACTGTACAACAACTCACCCTTATGTAACAGATAATACTCCCTACAACTGTAAAACAACTCATCCTTATGTAACAGATAATACTCCCTACAACTGTACAACAATTCACCCTTATGTAACAGATAATACTCCCTACAACTGTACAGCTCACCCTTATGTAACAGATAATACTCCCCACAACTGTACAACAACTCATTCTTATGTAACATATAATACTCCCTACAACTGTGGTGTCCAACTCACCCTTATGTAACAGATAATACTCCCTACAACTGTATAACAACACACCTATATGTAACAGATAATACTCCCTACAACTGTACAACAACATACCTTTATGTTACAGATAATACTCCCTACACCCGATTTAATTCAGAACAATTAATTCAGAATAAAGAAACTAGTTTATATTTTTGTACCTCTATAACGAAATAAAAAAATACAGAAATTCAAATGAGCAAAATTAGATTAAAAAAGTCCAAATAGCAGTCCTCCCTCTGCCTCTGCCTCAAATAAAAGTCCCGATAAAACAATTGCAACGCAGGACCTTCACAAGTGCCCTGCTCATTTGCATTCAGCTGCTCCATCAAAGTCACACTCCCTCCAAACCAAATTAACTCTTTTTTTTTTTATTTTATTTTTCTCTGTTTTTCGCCCTCGCAGCCTCTCCTCACCATGCGCATTCAAACACGTTCATTTTATAGCCGTTTTATCGTAGCACTAAAGAATCACCTTAACTTCTTCTTCCACGGTTTTTGTAGATGCGGCTACAAGCTCGCAAAAGTAATGAAGAGTTATCCGAAAGAGAAGAATCGCGGCGGCGTAAACAATATTAAACTCGAGTGGGGCTGAGTCATTCGGAGCGGTTTTTGACCCTTAACCTTTTGCTCTCTGCAGCCGAATTGTGAAAAAATAAACGAGATATTGTTTTGGTTAAAGGAGTACAACATGATGCGAGGTTTTACTGAGCGCAGATGGATTCAAAGTGACCAGTGTGTTCACGTCTTTAACAATAGAGAACAGTGTTTTTGTCATGTTTGTAGAAGTAGAAGGGCTTGGAGTCGCTAAATTCAAGGTTGGGGGTACATAATGCTGTCGTGTTTTCATCGTTTTTCAGGTAATACAACGTGATTTTCAGCGTTAAATCGTAGTAGTTTCTTAGCGGTCTTATATCTGTGTAATCCCTCAGAGGTCAATGGGCGTGTACTCGTCTATGTGCTCTTAAACTTACTCTGATCCAGCTTAAAATCATTCTAAGGCCCCGTCCACACTAGTGTGTATTCGAGTAGTTTTCATTGTGGATGTAGTGTTCGTCCACACTAATCTGATTGGAAATGGCTCCAGAGACGGAACGATCTGGTGCCGCCAGCTCCCACGAATTCATGGATCTGAGTATGGACCTGACCCGGCACTGTGTGGACTCCTGAAAACGCTGATACTCTGATGTAGGTCTATGCACCGCGAAGTAATTCACCTCCAAAATGCTAAAAGGCTAAAATATATGTCCATTCATATATAGGGTCTATGCATGCGATCTGTAGACGTATAATCTCTGAAAAGTTTAACATGAACCATCTCCAACGCGATAGAAGCACAGAACAGACTCACCATCAGCAGAACACCCCTCTGTCACAGAAAGAACACTCATATTCCACTGAGTCGTGTCCTTTAGTCCGACAGAAGCTGAACCACATCAGCGCACAATAGCAAGATGTTTTTTGAGTGTTTAGTTTATCCAAATGAGCCATGTGGTTTTAAGTTTCGCTTCTGTAAAACGTAAACAAATATGCTCAAAGCTGTGTGGATAGGGAATGCTTGTGGACACAGAAACGACGTGTCTGGATGCAGATCTTTTCCGATACGGTGATTCGTTTCAGTGTAAATGTAGCTTAAATCAGTGCTTCTCAATTATTTTCTGTCACGCCAATCCTAGGAAAAAGAAAACATTTCGCGCCACCCCCACTCCACAGAACCACTGCCAAACATGAACAAATTGCACCCTCGCCTTCAGTCACAAAGCAAACGTTTTAGTTGCGTCTCCAAAGCGACTCCCAGGACACACGCATCTATAAAGAGCACGTCCATGGTATAGTTCGGCAGTATCAGCTCCTCTGATATTTAGTATGCCGCCTTATATGATGCTTAAGTTTGCGCACACGCTCGACTTTACTATACGAGCCCTGTTAGGTGCACTGACGTTTCTCATACGAGGAAAACAGCGAATAAAATCTGCTCCGAAACACACGTCGAACCCGAGCTCGCCTTCAATAAGGACTGGGACAGAAGTTTAGCTGCCTCTTGTCTCCATCTGTCCTCACTGCTCTGCGCTGTTTTTACATCCAAAAAATTACGGAAGCCGAGAGGGGTCACAACAAACGCAAACGCCGCAACAAATACAAATGAGACAACACATCAAAAAGCCACAACACATCAAAAAGTCACAACGGTAATGACCGCGGGACTCCATTTTCTGACAGACCGATCAAGTGGCAAGTGAAGAAGAAGAACTACAACGTGAAAAGTAAAGGAACGGAGAAGTTGGAAACGTAAGTAAAAGTAATTTATTGTTCTATCATTATTTGTTTCACGTTGTAGTTCTTCTTCTTCACTTGCCGCTTGATCGGTCTGTTGGAAAATAGAGTCCCGCGGTCACTTCCGTTGTGGCTTTTTGATGTGTTGTGGCTTTTTAATGTGTTGTGGCTTTTTAATGTGTTGTGGCGTTTGTATTTGTTGCGGCGTTTGCATTAAAATAGAGTCCCGTGGGCATTTCCGTTGTGGCTTTTTGTTGTGTTGTCACATTTGTATTTGTTGCGGCGTTTGCGTTTGTTGTGGCTTTTTAATGTGTTGCAGCATTTGCGTTTGTGTTGTGGAGTTTGCATTAAAATAAAGTCCCGCGGTCATTTCTGGTTGTGGCTTTTTTTGGTGTGTTGTGGCTTTTAGTTGTGTTGTCGCTTCCGTCTCGGCTTCCGTAAAAACTCACGAACGAACGTGTATCATAAAAGGACGCGCATCTGCCTCGCTATTTTAATATTTTCGCCGTTAAAAGCGTTAGCACATGTAAACAAACAGCGCCGTGTGATGACGTCGGTTCGGGTGTGCAAGTGTGAGCGCGGGCCATAGATCCCTACACAATCGTGCTTGAACATGATTCTACAATGATTCTAAAGTCCTAGTGTGAGTGCGCCCTAAGTACTACCAGGGCAGTCGACAGAAATCTCGGGGCCAGGGAGAAAAAGCCTTACATGCTCCCCCTTCTAATATAAATTAATAGGAAGAGGGTCCATTTCTGGGCTCTCTGACGTGCCACTGACTGTATGTACACAGCAATAATGAGAGTGTAAAACGGCGTGTACCTTAGTAGCGAGCAGGCGGGTCAGGTAGATCTCAGACACCATCTTGCTTCCTCGGTCTCCTTCCTTCTGATCTCCGTGCTCGTGGTTCTTCACCAGGTGCCACACTTTGACCCCGCTCTCCAGGTCGGGCGTGATCATGGGCGTACGTGACCTCAGGCTGTCCGGGCTCCCTGTGTATTTGATCATGTTCTCTGCAAAAGACGACGCAATAAAACGATTCAATTTGATTTTTGTAACACAATATCACAGCAGTGTTCGCTTCACAGGGTTTCACTGTAACACTCAATGAATGACTTCCCTTTGTGCAGTGTTTTCATTCACGTGTGCTTCAGGGAGATGTTATTGTTTGCCTGGAATGTTCCACAGTAAGGCATTAAACTTAAATATCTCCATATATATGCTGGACTGTTTGTTGTATAATTATGAATCTCTTCATTGAAAACTAATAAAAAAAACATTGTGGAAAAAAAAAAAAAAAACATGAACATCTCCATAGTAAAATTTAAGTTTTTCAGTGTTTTTTCTCTCCCCTGTAGTTTAATACTTTTATATTTATGTAATTTAATATGCGAGAGGTGTGCTTGCTTTAGAACGTTCTAGGCAAACAAAAACATCTCTATAGAGACGAAAAGGTACATAGTGTGACTTTAACTATGAGTGACTATCAAAAAAAAAAGGGGAAAATATTATCTAATTTATTATGTTTAAGACACGGAAATTAAGGATTAAATTGTAAAAAAGTAAAAAAAAAAAAAAAGTTGTTCTTTGACTAATTATTATAGTAAATCACTGTTATTTTAATAATTACCTTCAATACATTTTTCAAAATCTTTGGATCCACTTTTGGTTATACTTTTTCTATACTTTTTTTCATATACTGTATTTTATAATTTAGCTGTAAAAATTCTAAGCACTATGTATTAGAAAAGGTACATAGTGTAACTTTAACTATGAGTCACTATCAAAAACAGGGGTCATCAAGCTCAGGCCCGTGGGCCAACTCCGGCCCGCCACGCCCCTTTGACCGCCCCCCAGCCCCTCTACCCCCACCACTTGAACTGGCCCTATGAGACAATCTTCAAATGTACTTTTTGGCAAATAATAACATGTCTGCATCTTGTATTTGTAGATTTTTTCAATTAAAAAAATTTATTTATATGAAGTATTTATTTATAAATAATTATATGACGTATTTATTTACATTTGCCACCAAATTTGCTACTGAATTTTCATCACCAGTGACAGTTAAAGCCAGCAAAATGGCAAGTATTAAAGTATGAAAAGTTGACAGAGTGCGCCGAGTTTTTCAAGAACAGTGGAGGACCAATTATTATTTTTTGTTCAGTGTAAAGACCGTGCAGTTTATCTGATATGTAAATGAAGTGTGGCGGTTTTCAAAGCATAATCGTCAGGGTCATACAATTCTGTTATATATCACAGCCCGGAGCGATAATGTGGCCCCCAGAGAAAAAAGTTTGGTGACCCCTGACCAAAAACAATGAGAAACTATTATTAAAGTATTGTTTAATGTTGTTTACGTAATATTATGTTTAAGAAGTCTTGTAAACCACCATTATTATAACAATAACCATTAAATTCTGCTAAATTTTCTAAACCACTTTGTGATTTTTCTGTCTCATATATATTCAAATTTAGCTATGAATTTGCAATGCTGATTTTTATGCAATTTAGATCCAAAATGACTAATATAAGCACACGGAAAAAGCCCTGAAAGAATCTACGGTAGCCTGTAAACTCCAGACAGAATATAACAAAAGTGAATTTCAGTTCCTCCGTCTTCCCACTGTGAGTCCGACCACTTTACCTCAACACAGATCGTAAATTATTTTTTGTTATTTGCGGTCATGCTTTGGCGATGTGGATATGAAACTTTCAGGGAGTGGACAGCGCATTGTTAATTTTTCATATTTTTCCTCTGGGCCGAGGGAGAGGAGAGGGGCTTCGGCTCTGACACAAAATCGAAGGTGTCAGCAGATATGAAAAATGCATGGCCCACCCAATGGTCAGAGTGGCAATGACATTTGAAAACACACGCCTCGATGCATGTTTACCCAGTATGAGCAAAATTGATCAGTGGATGTGGTTCGCGGAGACGAGTCCGGAGACGAGATTTGACAGGAATGAATGCGAGCGGAGCGGCGGCAGGCTCAGCTGGAGTCTGCGCGCGGCACCAAGATCAGGTTTAGTCTTATCAAATACGGCCCCGCAGTACACAATCGGATCTCCTGTAGTTTGGCTCTGGGATCTGGTTTGTGAACCTGGCAAACGTACGATTGATATAACACAGCTAATGAGGTTAGCGCTGTGATATCAATTTGGAGCCGGGCGCAGTGAAAACAACAAGGAGGGACTTGGAAATTGTTTTAGCCAGACATAGAAACAACACAGAGCTCATAACTACAGCAGGAATAAAATTTAGAAACAAAACGGTCACTAATTTTGGAAATATAGAAGAATACCATATGTTTTAGTGCAAATTTTCAAGTGTTTTTGAGTCACTTTGGTAAAACTCAAGTATTATTATTGTGGTGTGGCTGAAATGTTACACAATATGGCATTAAAAACATTAGAAACAACCATAGAAACACAGAAAAAGCAGCAAACCGTATCACTGTAGTAACAATATTTAGAGACGAAATGGTTGCTTATTTTGGAAAGCAATACTTTATGTGTTGTAATTTTGTTAATGATGCTGTTAACCTTTTAATTAACATTTCTGGTCTCGGAAATTTGCTTGTATAAATCCAAAAATAGTCCTGGTTCAGTCCTGGTTAAGTCCGACATCGCAATTTAAGTCACAGAAACTTGAAAATTATCCGTTTTTTTTTAAATTATTCATTTAAACACAAAATCGAAAACTGAAAAAATGAATCGTTATCTATTTTTTGGAGACAAATTATGAAGATTTTTTTTTTTTTCGTTACTTTTGGTTTTATTTTGAAAAACGAATGAATTTTGATTGATTTTATTCCCTTGCCTGAAATGTTCCACAGTATATCATTAAAGTTATCCTGCATTTATATAATTAGTGTTATTTTATTGCTAAAAAAAACCAAAACCGTCATCACCAGCTTGTCCTGATGGAGGTAGATATGTTTGTAATGTATGTACAATGTCGTAATTTTGTTAACGGTGCTTTACGTAACTTTTCTGGTGTGGGGTCTGCAATTGGCTTGTTCAAATGTACGCCACAGTACAGTACGCCATTAATAATGATATGTTTGTAAGGACAGTAATACAACGCTGAGAAATGATCCAGGCAAAGTAATGACACACGAAGAAGTAGATGTGGTCAGAGCGCTCGCTGGATCACCACTAAAGTGAAATAATAATAATAATCTGGTGCTTTTCGGAGATCCCAAGTGGGCAAATAACTTACTGGATGAAAAAGGAGATCTGAGGCACTCCGATATACTTTGCTATGATTTTATTTCATGTCAAACGTCAATGCATTTCCACTTGCGTCTTCATCAGGGCATGTAAAATTCACAAGTGTGTGTTGGTGGTATTTAACTGTACAAGTCACATGAGGACAGCGTCACGTGATACAACCGTGTAAATATAAATTTTTAAACATACGTATCTAAAAAGGGACAAAGTGATGCATCACAATAATATGAGTGTGCACCAGTCTGGGCACAGGTCACCCGTAACCTCTGTTATGTGGCGCACACGCCTGTGAATTTTACGTGCCCTGGTGAACACGCATTGGTGTTTGAAATAAATCCATCCATTTTCTTCCGCTTATCTGGGGTCAGGTCTGAGCAGGGCCTCCCAGACTTCCCTCTCCACACACACTTCCTCCAGCTCCTCCGGGGGGATCCCGAGGCGTTCCCAGGCCAGCCGAGAGACATACCGTATTTTACGCACTACCAGGATTATAAAGCGCACTGTCAAGTAATGGTCTATTTTCAAACTTTAAAAAAAAAAAAAAATGCACCGGACTTTATATGAAACAGGGTCAGTTGGACTTTGTTTGTGGCGTTCACGGTGACTCTGGGCTTTGTTCAGTTGTGGCGTGTAGGGAGGTGCTGTCTGGGACCGCTGGATTGTCGGCGTGTTCGCACTGACTCAGTTGTTCAGTTGTGGCTTGAAGTGGCACATTGCACTCGCTTTTTCGGTTTGTTCCTCCGTTGTGTTCCTCGTCGGCGTGGAGTGATGAGTGCGTCTGTGGGTGTTTTTCGATGCGCGGTCGCTGTCTGCTCCGTGTGTGTTTGCGTGCGCTGTGAGTGGTGCGGCTTTGCAGGTTACTGAAGTCGTGTTTGGACACTCGAGTGGCGCTCTGGATTGTGGGGCGCGCGGTCGATTTTTGATGGGGTTGGAGGCTTAAGAGTGCACCTAACAGCCTGGAAAATACGGTAGTCCTTCCAGTGTCCTAGGTCTTCCCCAGGGCCTACTCCAGGTGGGACATGCCCTGGAAAACCTCTCCAGGGGCACTCGGAACAGATGCCCGAGCCACCTCAACTGACTCCTCTCGATGTGGAGGAGCAGCGACTCTACTCCGAGCTCCTCCTATGGGATGAACTCCTCACTCTATCTCTACCGTGCGGAGAAAACTCATTTCGACCGCTTGTATCCGCGATCTCGTCCTTTCGGTCATTACCCAAAGCTCATGACCACAGGGGGGGTGGGTGGCGTGAAATAAAATCATTGCAAAATATATCGGGGCGCCTCGGATCTCCTTTTTTCATCCACAAAGTCATAACAACTCCAAAGAAACAAGCAGATGGCTGACTCTTCATCATGCAGTAAAATTACATAGTCCCCCTTTATTACAAACTCCACAAAAATTCTTGATTAAATAGTAACTAAGCCTGAATCATTCTTAATAAAATATCTGTTCATTATGAAATACGTATATATGGTATTATAAAGTGTTACCTTGTCATTGTCAACATTTGATATACTTTTTGACAAATTAACCTAAAATATTCTCACATTTGGCCTATATTTTTACTTCTTCGGACCAGGATCTTGGCTCATTAAATCTGTACTGACACTGAACCACGTAAACATACAACAAAAACAACATCTACTCGCGTTAAACTAGAGAAAACCCGCTGTATTGACTCAACTCGATTATAAATTCACAGTGAAATTGTTGATGATCTGAGCGAACCGCTGCGCCGTGTTTTGTCTTGATCATTTATTGAAGACGGTCGGAGCCGAGGAGCTGAAACGGCCCCGTTGGATTAGACCGCATCCATAGGAGGTGTAGCGTTTCACTGTATTTTTGAGCTTGTGGTTCAGACTTCAAACAGAGCGCTCTCCCCTTTCACCCCGGACTCAACACGCCGCATTGTGCCGTCTTAAGACCTCTACTTTGTCTCCGGCTTCTATGGGATCAGATTCAACCCTGCTCCATTCTTCCTCCGCTCCGCTATTGTGCGCTGGAGTTCAAAGTCAAGGTCTCAAATGCTACGACTCTTGGTTTGAAGTCAAGAAAATAACAAAAAAATACACGTAATTTATCTAATTAGACGCAAAAGGTTAATCTTGGTTTTGTATTTCTTACAGGTGTTATATTTGACCTCTTTTCTTCCACTCTTTTCAGTAGTCATCTTCTCGTTTCCTGCTTTCTTAGAGTGAAAGTTAAAGATGCAATATGTAACTTTTCTGGTGATGGTGTAACGGTCTGCTCCCGGCTCGTTTCCATGGAGATGTTATTGCTTTACCTCAAATGTTCCACAGTATCAAGCTTCTCTAAATCTCTTTCATTACAGGTGTTTTTATTCGCTCAAAAATGCATTGATAAAAAACATATATTCTTTTGTGTGGGGTCGCCTCTCCACAGATCTGACCAAGAACTGAGCCAAGGACTACATCAGGACTAAACCAGGACTAAACCAGAACTAAACCAGGACTAAACAAGGACTAAACCAGGACTGAACCAGAAATGAACAAGGACTAAACAAGAACTAAACCAGGACTAAACAAGGACTAAACTAGGACTAAACCAGAACTAAACCAGGACTAAACAAGGATTAAACCAGAAATGAACAAGAACTAAACCAGAACTAAACCAGGACTGAACCAAGGACTAAACTAGGACTATACAAGGACTGAACAAGGGCTAAATCAGAATTAAACCAGGTCTAAACCAGGACTGAACCAGGACTGAACCAGAAATGAACAAGGACTAAACAAGAACTAAACCAGGACTAAACAAGGACTAAAGCAGAACTGAAAAAGGACTAAACCAGAACTAAACCAGGACTAAACAAGGATTAAACCAGAAATGAACAAGAACTAAACCAGAACTAAACCAGGACTGAACCAAGGACTAAACTAGGACTATACAAGGACTGAACAAGGGCTAAATCAGAATTAAACCAGGTCTAAACCAGGACTGAACCAGAACTGAACCAGGTCTAAACCAGGACTGAACCAGAACTGAACCAGGTCTAAACCAGGACTGAACCAGGACTAAACAAGGACTAAAACAGAACTGAAAAAGGACTAAACCAGAACTAAACCAGGACTAAACAAGGATTAAACCAGAAATGAACAAGAACTAAACCAGAACTAAACCAGGACTGAACCAAGGACTAAACTAGGACTATACAAGGACTGAACAAGGGCTAAATCAGAATTAAACCAGGTCTGAACCAGGACTGAACCAGAACTGAACCAGGTCTAAACCAGGACTGAACCAGGACTAAACAAGGACTAAAACAGAACTGAAAAAGGACTAAACCAGAACTAAACCAGGACTAAACAAGGACTAAACCAGAAATGAACAAGAACTAAACCAGGACTAAACCAGGTTTAAACGAGGAGTAATCTTGGACTTGTGAGAGAGAATCCCGAACCTGTGGAGCAGATAGTCCGCAAAGTACAATCGGGTGATGGCTGAGCTTTAGCCCCGTGCGGCGAGGAGCTCTGTGCCGGTCCTTTCGCCTTCGGTCACCCAACGGTCTTCGCGAGCGCACCTCCGGGCCCGTCCTCACACTCAGTCCTGGATCAGCCCTGGTTTAGTCCTCCTGGTTCAGTCCTGGTCCCCTCATGAGCCTATGCATGTTTGTTTTCATCGTTGCCAGTAGCTCCGATTTGACATTTAAGTTGTAACTATTTTATATTTGTCATTTTTTTAATATCTCACGTCAAGAGAAGTGGATGGACGGCGTACCCCCGCGTACCACGCCCACTACACCCCTGGGTTTATAGCTCAAAAATATCTAGAAAAACAGATCTGACCTGTAATTTGGTCTGATTTGGTCTCCATGAAGACAGAAACAATCCAGATAAAGCAATAGAGACAAGCATTTGATGGACCCTCTACCAGAAAAGTTACATTGTGTAACTTTTTTTCCCCTCTTTTTGTCAATTTTGTCTCTGCATTGCTTGATAATTATGCCAAAAATATCTTACAACAGAACAAAAATACATTGAAATTATCCACTAATTTAAAGGTTGTATGGAGGATTTTTTTGTTTGTTTGTTTCAAATTGTCAATGAAAGTTCAAAATAGAATCATAGAGAAGCAACAGTCTTGTAATTATGATGACCAAAAACAAAAAAAAAAAAAAAAAGAATGAAAATCCATCAACAGTGGACGTGGTGGGGCAGATAAACATCAGCCAATAGATAACAAGGCTATCTCTTTATCTATTGGCTGTTAGGTTGTCAATCAAACTCCCTACATTTCTAGTGTCACTGACTTGCCGAGGCACTGGGATTGCGTGGTTTATGTTCGCCTCTCACGCACTGATGCCATTTACTCAACCAGCGCAGCGGTTCTTGCCGTCTTTTTGGAACTGTAGCTCTCAGTTTGCAGAAAGTTTGTTTTAATGACAGACAAGAATTCACCACCAGTTCGCCGCAAAAGAAAGTCCGTTTTTGACGTCGCTGAAAGAAGAGAAGGGGAAAAGGAAGCAAAGCGCAACATTTAAAAAAGGACAGTCGCTGCATTTCTCTTTCCTTGGAAAATCTTCTATACAACCTTTAAGTCGCAACACTAAGTAACCACAGACTCACCAAAAATACAACTGAACACAGCTAAACAATCAGAATACAAGCCATTATAACTCGTGTACGGCCATTTCTTTGTAGTGTCCCCCTTTCTTTTTCTTCAGTCTAATTGCGTCGCGTGGAGCAGAGATGGCGGCGCAGACATGGACATGCTAATAACGCACCAGCACTTCTGATGGCGGTGGAGAGGTTTTGGGGTCCAGGCGGCTCCGCTTTGATCAGCCTGACTCTGTGCTTATCCAGGTTCAAGGAGCGGACGGCACAGACACATGCAAATGAAGCCGGCCCATAGGAAATGAGAGGGCGCACTTGAGACAGCAGACAGATCATTTCGGGGATGCGATTTTCCTTTGTACACCGGGGGTCTGGCTGCTGTAATGGCCCTGTCGTACTGGGCTGTTATGTTACATTGATATTGTTTTGTCCGGCTCAGAAAATATTTTAATTCAGATTATTCATGGAAATATTCGCTTTTGTTTGCTGAAGGTTCTTAGCATTTTGATTTCGGCGCTCAATGTCTTGAAGATTGGGATTAGTTAAAAATAAAAAAAAGCCTTAAATAGCCTTAATAAAACATGCACAAAGACTTAATTAACAATGAACAAATAGTTTAATAAAGGTGAACTACTATGGAAATGTCATTTTTTTGCCTGGAATGTTCCACAGTGTGACATTAAACAGCTCTACTTTACATTTATTCAATTACAGGTGGTTTTAAAGCTCAAAAATACCTAGAAAAACAAACATTCTGACTGTGGGTGGGGTCGCCTTTCCACAGATCTGACCTGTAACTTGGTCTGGTTTGGTCTCCATGAAGATAGAAAGGTTTAATACCGTACAGGGTTAGGAGTTACTAAGGCTGAATCATTCTTAATAAACTATTTGTTCACTATAAATTAGGGATGGGCATTTGATTAAAGTTTCTTAATCGATCGTCGGGAGAATTAACGATTGATTTTCAATTAATCATTAACGATTTTATTTTAAAATTATCATTATTATTATTACTAATCTACATAAATAAACTAAACTTTACAACATATAAACCATAACCACTATAGAGTCACATCAGCCCGAGATTATAATGTGTTTAATGCAGCTTTGACACGTTTGTTTACGTTTTACAGAAACTTAAACCCACATGGCTCATTTGCATAAACTATAACAGCTGAAAAAAACAGCTCTTTCCTTGTGCGCTGATGTGGTTCAGCTTTTATCGGACACGACTCAGTGGAATATGAGTGTTCTCTTTGTGACAGAGGGATGTTGATGATGATGATGGTGAGTCTGTTCTGTGTGTGTGTCGTGTTGGAGATGGTTCATGTTTTCAGAGATCAGACGTGTGCAGGTTTAGTGCAGCTCTTTATTTAACATCATTTCACTTTATTTATGTTGGTCACTTTATTTATTTTGGCTTCTGTTGTGATGAAAAGACTGAAAAGTGTTTGTCTTTTGGACACATGTGACTCAACTTTATGTTGCAGTAACTGAGATACTGCGTTTACATGCACCGTGATGAAACCGGGATACTCAAAAAACCCGATCATACCCGGGACACTGATGTTCTGTAAACACACTCACTGATGGTACAGTGTCTCCAAGGAGCCAGAGCCAAAACGTGGAACTATGAGGCACAACTCCAGTGTTTGTGTCAGACGCAGCCTCGTAGATGAATCGACTAATCATGCCCATCCCTACTATGAATTAAATCTTTGTTTATACTTTGTTAAGGCTAATTAAGTGTAGTTATTAAAATGTGTTACCTAATAAACATTTTGGCTTCTATTCCTAGATTTCCCCAATCCCCAATCTTCAGAGAGCAGATTAGCCAAACAAATTAAAAATGCATTTTCATTTAGTGTAGTGCAAAACACCACGGTTATCCAGACTTTTATGAGAATATAATTTACTATTCCCTTTAACTCATCAATAGCCGCTTTTTATAGTTATTTTTACATTGTGAGTTGTCATTGGGATTAGTCCAGATGCCCTCCCTGAAGTAGCTCTTTATATTTATCCATGCTTATAACGTTCTTCTCGATACAGACAGAACAGAATGATCTTACCGTATTTACTGGCTGAGGTCCTGGACACAGTGGAGTTGTTCACTGAGTTGTACGCTGTGACTTGTTTGGGCACCAAAGCCATCACCGCGTTATCAGGAACCTAGAAAAAAGAATAAACAGAAATACAAATGTTAATGAGTGATAATATTAACACTGATGTAAAGATTTGATTGGAAATTGTAGCATTTTTCAAGGTTTCCCACTTTGTAAATAGTGCGTCAATAGAGACATTATTTTCTTCAGTTGAATGCAGCTTGTAATGTTCCTGATTTTTTAATAAACCTTGCAGCAGGATTTGGCATTTTGCACATTTCAGAGGAATAATTGCACATTAATCACAACCAGAATTGTAACTCTGATTAAACAGTGTTATGTGAGTGTATTTTGTACATTTAACACCTGAGTCACACAAATTAAAATCCTGTTTATTCAGATTTATAAACCATTTCTCAATGATGACAGGGTCGATACATATTCAAAGCCTTTTATTTGAAGCGTCTGTGTTACGCTGTTTTCTGATCTATGTTATAACCTTGTCATGTCATGTGGTGATACAGGAAGTGCTCTGTACACCTTCACTAGAATCATTTGGATCATTTCAGGCTACATTTATATGATGACGGTCTGAACAGAAGACGCAAAAGTGGTGCCGCGTCTTCACTTTTTATTCTGCGTTTAGACGAGCGTTTTCAGGAGGAAATCTACGTGCATACTGTGACGCAAAAGTGTGTGGAATCTGATTGGGTATGCATGTACCGTATTTTCCGCACTATAGGGCCCGCTCTTAAACCTCCAACCCCATCAAAAAAAACGACTGCGCGCCCCACAATCCAGAGCGTCCTATACACGAATCCACTCGGGTGTCCCAGCACGACTTCAGTAAACTACAAAGCCGTACCATTCACAGCGCACGCAAACACACACGGAGCAGACAGCGACTGTGCAGTAAACACTCACAGCCACACTCATCGCTCCACGCCGACGAGGAACGCAACGGAGGAACGAACCGAAAAAGCGAGCGCAATGTGCCGCTTCTAGACACGACTGAACAACTGAGTCACTGCGAACACGCCGACAATCCAGCGGTCCCAGACAGCACCCTCCCTACACGCCACAACTGAACAAAGCCCAGAGTCACCGTGAACGCCACAAACAAAGTCCCACTGACCCATCCAACTGTTGTGTTTCGTTTAAAGTTTGGTTTGGTTTATTTGTGAAAAAAGTTCAAAATTAGACCATTTAATGACAGTGCGCTTTATAGTGCGGCAAATACGGTATTTAAAGCAACAAGGGGCGTTTTTGGACATATGGAGGTTTTTACGCCGCGCATTTTCATCAGCTACTCCTTCTACAAAGTCGTCCCACCATCGACTGCTTCTCCAGGTCTCGTTCATATCCGTCTGACTCACCCGCGACGAACTGATGCATCCAGAATTTGACAGAGGAGATTGTAGATCCTTCTCTGTTCACTAATAGTATCTCTGTAGATTCTGTACATTTGTTGGGAGCCTCCTGTAAGTTTATTAAGAGCTGCCAGAGCAACTTGACAGTCCGACGCATGGAAACAATCCGACATGTTTGTTTCTGTGTGCTGTATGTAAACGCGTACGCGACGTGAGCAGATCTGACCAGAGTTTTGCGTCTTGGGCAGTGTAGACGGAAACGCTACGGCGGAGCGTATTCAACTTTTCCACTCTGGAGGGTGTTTTCAGATTTTTGAGTTTTTAAACCCCCCCAAAAATCGCCGTCACCGTCTAAACAAAAGGCACTTCCGATAAAATATTTTGTCATTTTTACCTGCAAGTGTTCTCACGCAAACAAGCCCTCAGCCCTGGAATTTCCAATCTCTACTGAACTAAAGATAAAACGAACTGTTAACTTGAAAACTACCGCTTCATGACATCACAAGGTGGGCATTTTGAGCATTTTGAGCTTTGGAGATGTCGACAGAATAATAATAAAGGCGTAAAAAACAATCAGACGTGTGTGAATGAAACAAAACACAACTCCAGGTCTGTTTTTGATGCGGTAACAACAATTTCTGGACTCATATTTTTCTATACTTACTCTACAAAAGCATTCACAGTGATTTTAGACGTCAAAATCTACTTCTGTTAAAATTTTAAACCTAAAATAATTCAGTAAGACCCAAATTCATGCCCTGTTGTATCGATGGATATTTACTCTGTATGGGGTTCACTATAATCTTCTCTATTAACTATTATTATTATTATTATAAAGTTTAATTATGCATGTAAAAAAACACATTAGGTCAAAATGGGTTGAGTTCAGATCTCGGATGAAAAACGATCAGGTGGACTTGGCTGGAATCTCCATAATTAATGTGCCGGGCTCCTCCTCCTTTTGTGCGAACGACTGAATAATGTTATATGTGTGGATGGGATGAGTGACAGGAGGAGAAAAGAGAGGGATGAAGAAGGAGGGAGGAGGGAGGAGGGGATAGTCCAGCTCCAAAACCCCCTGGTGCGATGGGACGTCCCAGTCTCCACTCAATAAAACTGTTCCTGGTGGACGAGCTGCTGTGTTCAGAGGATGTGAGTCAATTTTAATGTGTGTGTGCAAAAACAAGGGGGTCTGGAGGTGTACACTATAAAAAATAAAATAAAAAATACACATCTACATGAAGTAAAGGGGATTTTCTGAGTAGTTTTGTTGAGACTGGGTTTATTTTTAAAAGGTACGGCTATATTTTCAACCCTCAAAGGTGAATTTTGTAACTTTTTTGGTGGAGGGTTCGTCGAATGCTTTTCTTTTTAAATCAGGACTTAATCAGGACTAAATCTGGACTAAACCAGAATTAAACTAAACCAGGACTGACTAACCAGGACTAAAGGACTCAGGACTAAACCAGGATTTAACAGGGACTAAGTCAGGATTTAACCAAGACTAAATCAAGACTTAACCGGGACTAAACCAGGACTAAATTGGGACTAAACAGGGACTAAATCAGGACTAAACAGGACTAAACCGGGATTAAACTGGGACTAAACCAGGACTAAACCTGGGCTAAACAAAGACTAAATTGAGACTAAACCAGGACTAAACCGGGACTAAACTGGGACTAAATTGGGACTAAATCAGGACTAAATCGGGACTCAACCAGGACTTAACCAGGATCTAAACAGAATTAAATCGGGACCTAAACCAGGACTAAATCGGGACTAAACCAGGACTAAATTGGGACTAAACCAGGACAAAAATCAGGATTTAACCAGGATTCACCAGGACTAAATCAAGACTAAACAGGGAATAAACTGGGACTAAACTGGGACTTAATCAGGACTAAACCAGGATTAAACCTGGACTAAACCAGGTCTAAACCAGGAATAAATCGGGACTAAACCAGGTCTAAACCAGGACTAAATTGGGACTAAACCAGGATTAAACAGGGACTAAACCAGGGCGATACCAGAACTAAACCAGGACTATTGCAAAGGCACTCTCAGACTTTACACCTATTAAGTTAACAAATAACAAGTCTTACTTTGGTAACTAATACAGACCTATGACCGATCAATTAAACATTTTAATTAGTCCAAACTACTCAAAATAAGACCTGGTGACGAACCCCCAACCAAAAAAGTTACACAGTGCGCCTTTAAGCAACCCAGACATTCAGTTTTTTACAGTGCACCTAAATGAATAAACCCTTTCCCCAGTCAGCCGAACGAGATTCAATTAACGCGGCGGCGAAATACGACCGTCCCACGCACAAACACCCAAACCCCGTCCCACATCATCATCTGGCGACCCGCACTGCACTGTGGGTAAAAGGGGGCGGGGGTTAATTGAAGTGATCCCAATCGCGTGGCGTGGGTGGAGGCACGGGGCAAAGGCCAACCTGCAGCTTCTATGTGAATGTGTGTGTGTGTGTTTGTGTGTGAGTGTGTGTGTGTGTGTGTGTGTGAGGGAGGGTCTTATTATAATGTGGTATCATTATTTTATCCAGTCAACCAGTCTGCTCCCACCTCATTTTACGGGTATATCACCGAGCACAGGGGACAATGGGGTCACCGCAAAAATAAAATATCTACATGGGTAAAATGGCTTGACTTCATTATTGTAATCATGCTTTAAAGCACAGGTGTCAAACATGCGGCCCGGGGGCCAGATCCGGCCCTCCAAGACCTTTAATCTGGCCCTCGGCTGATTTTCTACTAAAATATTTAAATTCTATTTTTTATTAAAATCTTGTTAATTTTCTGTGGTGTTTATCACAGCAGCGTCTCCAGCGTCTCTGTACGTGGCCCCTCCCACCAGAGCAGCACAAATGAAGACTTGTCTCTTTCCAAACGCTCTTAAAGGACGATCGTTTTGACTGTTGACCGTGACACCCTCATCAGAAAAATGTCCAACATGAGAAAAATGGAGCCGAGTGCAGGATTTTACAAGAAAAATTGACTTATTCCTGTTTACATACAAGTTCATGTTAAAACATTGTGTTGAAATTGCATTTTTCTTAAAGTTTCAGGTTGTTCATAATATTATAATATTTTGTAAAAGAAAGAGTTCATCAATTAAAAAAGATTTCTGTCATAGATTTGTGTTTCTCTGCACAAATATTTGAACTTATTGTTATTTTTGGGGTTTATATGACATGAGTTTTCTGATCCGGCCCCTTTGGGATCAAAGTAGGGTGGATACGGCCCCTGGACCAAAATGAGTTTGACACCCCTGGTTTAAAGGGACAGTTTGGAATTTTGGACGGAGTGTTGGAGACGTGTGGATCCTGCCACTAAAAACAGTCTTACCCACCCCACAAAACACCTGAAGAAACTCTATTATTACACCAGACTGTAGATTTGTTGATAGAATAATGTTTGAAATAAAACTAACCCTAAATAACAGATTTGAACAATCATGCAGGTCATAGGATATTATACTTTTACATTATTTTGCTTTGGACCGTTAATTACTATGGCAACTGTCCTAATTTTCCATTATTTTAAACCCATGTATAAAATATCTTTGACAAAAAATATGTAGCAAATAGACCTTTTTCAGTGCCGCGATGGAGGGTAAACGTCACTCAATATCTGTCAAAATATCTGTGGGAATGTCTCGTGTATTTTCCACCAGCTTCATAAATCTGCCCCATCGCCAAATCTTCATCCAACGAGGTCGACAAAAAAGAATTTATCCACAACTATCAAGGTAAGAAAGACGAAAACGTAAAGGCGAACAACAATGACGACGCATTAGTGAACTACTCCTGAACAAAACTAACATTATGGTCATGAATAAAACATAAGTAACTTGTGAACTCAGACTGATTCTAGATGTTTTATATTATGTTTTATTTTCTATATGTATTAAAAATAAATTTCATGATGTAGATATTAACATAGACAGAGAGATTTGTACAGTTTGAATGCTACAGATGTTCACAGATTACATGTCGAGCACTTAAACTGCACAAATCTCTAAAAAAAATCTACATCATGAAATCAATTTTTAATTTTAATTCTAGAATCAGTCTGAGATCTGCGGAGAGGCGACGCCGCTCACAGTCAGAATTAATGTTTTTCTAGGTAATTTTGAAGCTATAAATCCACCGATAATTGAATAAATGCAAAGCCGAGCTGTTTAAAGTCAAACTGTGGAATATTCCAGGCAGAGAAACGACATATCCACATAAAGAAGTAACCAAAAAGTGACACAGTGCATCTTTAGCTGTCAAAACAACTTAAAACAATACATCAATTCAGTGAAGCAGGTTGTTTTGATTGTGATTTTAATGTATTTCTTATTCTGTAAAGCACTTTGAATTACTTTGTGTACGAATTGTGCTCTACAAATAAACTTGCCTTGCCTTGAAGTATGGTGGACGTTTTATATAAGCCGTTAATCTCCGTTGTGTCTTTAAACGTACGGCCTGATCATTGCTCTTAAGAATGAATGGACCCAAACAGGACACAACGGGACTTAATGAAATGAGCAAAGGAGGAGCGGCATTTGGAGAACAACATTATGGAGAAGTCTGAAGGCAAAACGTATCAGGACCAGCCGCAGACGCGCAGAGGAAAAAGCAAATCTGCCTTATTACTGAACGCAGATCTGATATGGTTTTGGCTCGTAGCTACAATTTGGATCTTTAGCTCAAATTTTTTATTGAGTTTGTGGAAGAGTTTTAGTCATCGAAACAGATTAGTGAAAAACTTACATCGCAATCAGTGTTTGTTTTGTGCAGTCTGTTACAGTGATGAAACAATTACAGTGTTTTTCGGACTATAAGTCCCACTTTTTTCACGGTTTGGGTGTTTCCTGCGACTTATGTATTAAAATGTTCACACTGACAGCCTTAAGAGAGCACTCTGGGCTTGTGTGTCAGTATCTGCTGCTCCTGTTAGTCCTTTACCACTGTCATTTCACTCTACTGCGCATGTCTACTGCAGAAAGAGCCGTTGTACTGCTGCAAATAGTGAAATATGCAGCAGAAAACGGTAATCGAGCAGCAGAAAGAAAGTTTGGAGTGAGCGAGAAACTTGTGAAGGACTGACGGAAAGTGAGAATGAAGAACACAGCTTCACAGTAACTGGGAGGATGCACCACGCAACTTTCCTGGAAGACAATGGATCGACAAAGCCTGGACTTGAGTGACACCGAAACCATCCTGTCGGGATTCAGAAAGGCCGGAATAATTCTAACTGGAACCTGACTGATTATTTATTTCGGTCACAGGTATATTTTGACATTAATTCACAGTCAGTCATATTTAACATACACAGACCGAAAAGGTGTAGGCTGAAGCTTAAGCTTATTATGCCTCTACCCTTTATTCCTTTGTCAGAGTGTCATCTTAACACCAGTTCATCTTTATAAGCTGATGCTGAGTCTGACGACAGCGACACAGAAGAGGAAGTGGTGCTCTGTTTACCTCTGGAGGCCGTGGAGTTGCTCAGAAGTGACACCGAGGATGAAGAATTGAATGGATTTAGTGATTTGGAGTGAGATGGAGAGTTTGGTAAACTTGTTCTGTTGTTTATGTTATAGTTTATCTGAAGAACTGTTCATATGTGACGTTAACAGTCTGGTGTTCCCTGTAACTTGCCTTTCAAGATGATTTCGTAAAATAAATTTCCCCTAAAAAGTGCGACTTCTAATCCTGTAAGACTTATATATGTTTTTTCTTCTTCATTACACATTTTTTGGCTGGTGCGACTTATACTCCAGAGTGACTTATAGTCTGAAAAACACAGTATATTAAAACATCTGTATGACATAATAGCCTTAGCTTTAGGAATGTCTTTAGGAATATCTCATTTCCTCAGTCCACTTCTTAATTTTTTGTTTAAAGGGCTCATATTACGCAATTTTCTGATCTTTATTTATAGTTATTTATAATATTGTTTCCTCATCACAAACATATTGTACCCGGAGTTGTGTTTTGTTTCATGCATAAAATCATTTGGATAATTTCAGTCCTGGAATTGCCAATCTCTACTGAACAAAAGGCAAAATGTAGCTGTTCACTTGAAAACTACCTCTTCGTGACATGACAAGGTGGAACAAAGCATTCTGAGTTTTCGGGGAAGCAGACGGACTAATAATCAAAAGGTTAATCAGACGTGTGAATAAAACAAAGCACGACTAAAAGCAAAAGAAAATACAATTAATCCAATAAAATGTTCCGTTTCTCGTGTCAAAACACACACACGCAGGTGGAAGCGCAGGTCTAAGAACGCCGCACGATCCTTTACCGCAAAACGTAATAAAGAAATTGCGTTTTTCTCACATCTGCCACGACATCTGCCCGGCTGTGGCGAGGTCTTTAGCTTGAACATAAACCCGGTGTTGCTTTGAATGTGAACAGGCAGAAGCTTGTGTTTTCACGGGTATGAAAAATGAGAGGTAATGGGAGCGAATGGTACCTGATAATGGCAAAGCATGTTCAGTCTCTTCCAATCGGCCTCAATTTTGGTGGTGATGTCCTCGTCCTGCAGAATCATGCGCTGCCCTCTGCCTTGGCGCCACTCTGCACGGAAAATACAACACGCATTTTAAACTGCACCATAGAATAAAAGTATATAGTAAAACACTGTAATAGACAGAAACATTTCACCAAGTAATTTCTTAAAAACTTGTAACTCTAGCTGCTGATTCTTGAACTATGCACAGTAGATATTTTAAGACATATTATACTTTCTTCACCATAGCAAGTGCAGATTTTCATTTACTTGTTTGTATTGACGAATAATTGGTAGCATATATATGACCTGGAGACTGAATCTTTTTTTTTTTTTTTTTTTTCTAAATGAAAGACAGCAGAATATAACATTTAACGAACACACACACCGACACAAATTTAATAAAATAAAGCAAAAGTAATGTGGTCGAGCATAAACACACTGCTAGGCCCCCTTATATTAACATTTTATCTAATATTATTTTCACCATCATCATTTACTTTCATCATCTTTAGTTTTCCAAGTCAATTCAAGTCTTCAAACCAAAAAAATACCAAATACAGCTTAGATATTTGCAATTTATATGAATTTTAACCTAAGTTGTACTTAAAAAAGTCATGGAGTATTTATATAAGACAGGGGTGTCAAACTCATTTAGGTCTGGGGGCCGTATCCAACCGACTTTAATCCCAAAGGGGCCAGAAAAAACTCACGGCATATATACCCCAAAAATAACAATAAGTTCAAATATTTGCAAAGAGAAACTCAAATCTATTACAGAAATCTTTTTTAATGGATGAACTCTTTCTTTTACAAAATATTATAATATTATGAACAACCTGAAACTTTAAGAAAAATGCAATTTCAACACAATGTTTTAGCATGAACTTGTATGCATCCATAGAATTTAGTCATGTTTTCTTTTTGCTCCTGAAACTTGGCATCTTTTAGCTGCACAAGTGCATCAACATCAGGCACCATGTCCTGAGTAGCTGCTGTCTTCAAAATGTCATTCAAGTGCTTGTGTGTTTTGTGTTCAGCTTTGAGCGCAGCTTTGTTTTATTAATGTTCATTACTGAGAAAACCTGCTTACAAACGTAGTAACTGTAAATCTATTATTTCTAGTTGCATGTCTGCCGGCACATCAGAGGTTTTGACTGTGAACCGTGTGTGAAAAATGACAAATTCTGTCTTCAGGTTTAAAAATATAATTAAAATATTTTAGTAGAAAATCAGCCGAGGGCCAGATTAAAGGTCTTGGAGGGCCGGATCCTGCCCCCGGGCCGTATGTTTGACACCCCTGTTCTATGTAGTTCCCTCTGTTTTACTGTATTGTACTGTATATTACTGTAGTACATTAAAGGATGCCATCTCATAGTACTTCAGGGGACATGTTCCAGTTTGTTCTTATAAAATTAAGCACCACATTTATTAACTGTAAAGAGAAAAGTATGTTTTAAAAACGTATATTTTTTTAGGAGAAGCATCGAGTCTTCTCAAGTCACGGGCCTCGAATCTGAGTCAAGTCCCGAGTCACTGACCTTTTCAAGTCTGAATCGAGCCCCGAGTCTTAGTCCATTTTAACAAGTCAAAAAACAGTGACTCACATCTGACTCAAGTCCAAGTCACGACTCACAAGTCTCCACCTACTAGTACTACACACACTTCTACTATAACTACTACTACCACCAAATGGGGAAAAAAATTAAATGGTTTTGCCCAAGGGCACTATTCCAGTAACGGCGATTGAACCACCACCTGTCCTCTCCCAACTGCGCCACTGCTACTTCGAGCTACACCAGTTTTACTTTTTAATTTTCATTTTCATGGCAACCGTCTCCCATTACATTTTCCAAGATTTTCTCATTAAAAGCTCAACGTTGTCCCTTTATCTATTGGCTTGCGTTTCCTGTTCATACAAAGTCTCATTTCCAAACTCGCCTTTATTCAAATCCCAAACCTTAGCAAATAACATCACATTTAGAAACAGTTCCCAGGCAAAATTATCATAAGTGAAATCCTGTGTTTTGGTGCCCCTCGCTGTGCCTCCCGCTAGCGTTACCCACTCGCGGCATCTTTGATTCTGATCACAAACAGCAAAACAAAGCAGCAATCACAAGCGCGCATGATGGAGCCAGTCTTTAGAGGATTGACCGCAAACGTGTCGAGGAAAAAAAAACAAAAAAGAACGCCGTGATATGAAGATTTGCGTGTTGTTTTTGTCGTTACGGTAACATGTTTCTTATAAATATGCAAATGATGTTAGCTGGTGGTCTCCAGTCGAGGGCTTAGAAAACAAGGATGAAATGAAAGATTGAAAAAATGCAAAATACCAGGATGTAGGAGTAAAATGACATGAGGGATTGAGTTTTGAATTGTCAATTGTGTTGGCTGTCAGCTGTATATTAGGTCCTGCTTTATGAGTCCCGATATTGATACTATTTCTTTGGTTTTGATACTGATACCAACTAGAGCCAATGGTTAACATACAATACTACAATACTGTATCCAAATATGCCAAAAATGTCACTTAATTAATAAATATAATAAGCCACAAGATCTAAAGAGACAAAACTGCCATAAGAGAAAAATTATCTTACATTTGGATTGGACAAAAACGGGTTAAATGTTTGTTACAGTTCCAAAAAGCAGCACTAGAACGTAAATAAAACTATGAAATCAAATAAATTAAAAACTGTGAGGCCAAAACTGGAAATTGAATCATGAAATTATTATATATTAGGACATTATGTTAAAGGGACAGTCCACAATTTTAGATATAAGGCCTCATTTCCTAGTGAGCCAGAGTGTTGGAGTCTGTGTCGATAGAATCATTTTAGAAGTAAAACCAACCTTGCATTTGCAGGATTTATGTCTGAGCAGCAGCAGTGAGTTGTACTTCCTGATTGAAAGCTCGGCAGCGGCGGACTGATGTCACTTAGCACCTGTCTTACCGGCAAAGTAAAATTCTCCTGCTGCTGAGAAAATAGTCCCTCAATATGTGACGAGTCATGTGATGCAAGGTTAGTTTTATTTCAAACATTATAATAATAGATAATAATTAGAGTAATAATAGATTTTCTTATTGTGTTTTGTGGAGTGGGTAAGACTGTTTTTAGTGGCAGGATAAATATGACCATTGACATGACCATTGTCCATTTAAAATCTTGTCTTGTCTCGTTCTTGTGGACCCAGTCTCGTATCTCGTCCCTAACTTTTGTTTTTTGTGAATGTTTTTAAAGCATTAAAAACATGCACCCGCACTGTGAGCGGGTTTGCATCTCTACAAACCGGTATGTTAAAGGTGCGTTCACACAATCATCAAATTGGGATCAGTTCAAATTAAACCTGGAACTAGAGGAAAACCACCTAGTGACTCCACTCAATTTCATTTCTTTCCAGCGATTAGGTCAGGAATCAGAATACACTAGATGGTTTACAAGTAGCCTGGAAGAGCTGAACCAACCTGAGACGTGACAGCAGACTGCATCCTCCTTTGGTCAAATACAAACTTCGCATTTTTTCTTATTTCTTTAAGTTAATCTCACAGTAACGACAACGACAGACATGTTCACTTTCTGCTTTGTTTGCTATTGTGCCGGAAATTACTTGGACACCACCGAGCGTTGCGGCGCATTACATACGTCATGACCAAATAGCAGCGATTGGTTAAATAAAAAAAGTACCCGCCTACCGTCGAGCGAACGAATCCTAACGCTGCGAAGTCAGACGGTTTCCACAAAGTGAAACCGGCTGATGAATCAGGCTAGACTCAACCAGCACTAGGACAGTAAATTGTATCACTATGCAAAATGACAAAGAAAAATGGCGTAAAACATCGAAAATCCAGGATGTAATAACAATGAAAACAATTTGGGGGACTGAGAAATCTCAAATATGTTGTGACTGTTGACTTTTAAGACATAACATGCAATGCACAGATGAAATAAAGAATGAATTTAGACAGAAACACCAGGATATATTGATTTAAAACAACTCGAGGGACTGAAAATACTCGAGTGCCACTGCCAGCTGGTATAAAATCTATGCAGTACCTTTTGTATATACAGTGTTGGGAAGGTTACTTTTAAAATGTATTCCCCTACAGATTACAGATTAAATATCCCAAAATGTAGTTTGTAACGTAATCCATTACGTTACTTAAGGTGAGTAATGTAATCTGAATACTTTGGATTACTTGATATTGTCATGCTTTTTAAAACTACATGAATGTAACAACCACATCCTTTGTTTTTAGTCCTGGTTTAGTCCTGGTTTTAGTTCTAGTTTAGTCCTAGTTTAGACCTGGTTTAGTCCTGGTTTAGTCCTGGTTTTAGTCCTGGTTTAGTCCTGGTTTTTAGTTCTCGTTTAGTCCTGGTTTAGTCCTGGAGTTTAGACCTGGTTTTAGTCCTGGGTTTAGTCCTGGTTTTAGTCCTGGTTTAGTCCTGGTTTTAGTTCTCTCGTTTTAGTCCTGGTTTAGTCCCAGTTTAGTCCTGGTTTAGTCCTGGTTTTAGTCCTGGTTTAGTCCTGGTTTAGTCCTGGTTTTAGTTCTGGTTTAGTCCTGTTTTAGTCTGGTTTTAGTCCTGGTTTAGTCCTGGTTTTAGTCCTGGTTTAGTTTTTCGTTTAGTCCTGGTTTAGTCCCGTTTAGTTTTAGTCCTGGTTTAGTCCTGGTTTTAGTTCTAGTTTAGTCTGTTTAGTCTGGTTTTAGTCCTGGTTTTAGTTTAGTTTAGTCCTAGTTTAGTTTTCCTGGTTTTAGTCCTGGTTTAGTCCTAGTTTAGTCCTGGTTTAGTCCTGGTTTTAGTTCTAGTTTAGTCCTGTTTTAGTCCTGGTTTTAGTTCTAGTTTAGTCCTGGTTTTAGTCCTGGTTTAGTCCTGGTTTTAGACCTGGTTTTAGACCTGGTTTTAGTTCTAGTTTAGTCTGAGTTTTAGACCTGGTTTAGTCCTGGTTTTAGTTCTAGTTTAGTCCTGGTTTAGTCCTGGTTTTAGTCCTGGTTTAGACCTGGTTTTAGTTCTAGTTTAGTCCTGGTTTAGTCCTGGTTTTAGTCCTGGTTTTAGTTCTGGTTTTAGTC